ACAGTTTTTACTGTATTTTTGATCAAATTAATGCAGCCTTGGTGAGCAGAAGAGACTTCTTTCATAAAAACATCTTACCGACCCCAAACATAAACTTTTAAACGGATGTTTTCTGAAAGAATTCTTTGAATATTTATTAAAGAATATTTATAAGTGAGAGGTAAACCGTGTGTACAGATGAATGTGAAAGAGCAGCATACACACACACACACATTAACACTGTGAAGCTGCTTAGACACAATCAGTATTATATAAAGCGCTATAGAAATAAAGGTGACTTGACTACATTTGATTTTAAATGTATATTAACCCTAAAAAGGGCAAGCATATAAAAAGCCATTGGAAAATTAATTTATTGCTATTTTACACCTTATTAGAACACAAATAATACAAATTTGTGATTTTTTTTTAAAAACTTGACTATTATTTTTGATTTTAATGTTTGTATCCCCCAGGATACGTCACCCCTTTTGGGGTTAATAAACATTGAAATTAAAATGAAATAAAATGCTGTAAAATTGCTCATTGTTCGTTCATGTTCACTAGTGTAACTAATGTCAACTAATGAAATCTGAATGTAGTGTTACCATTTAAATAAGACAAACTTCTAGAAACGTTCTATTGTGTGATGGCTCAAAATGAACTTATGAATAATTTTTTGAATCAGTCTGCACTGATTCAGTTGAGTCTGAATGAATGAATCAAACTCAGTGCTACTTATGAGAGAGAGGAACATTCTAGTTCATTGATTCAGCTCATTCAATCGACATTATGGCACAAAAATGATGTGCTTTGATTTACTACACCACTACTTCATAGAAAGTAGCACTAAAATAAAAGTTACGCAGTTTTAAAAACCACTGAGCTACAGTCACACTACTGAAAAGAGGACTTTTACCAGTGTTTATCTGGTAATTTACTCCCAACATCAGGGTGACAAAATACAGCCAAAAATATAAATAATATTAATAAAATTCAGTCACTTTAATAATGAAATGAAAGCAGCTCTGACCTTCTCCATGGACCATTTCTCATGGGAGTATTCTGCATATTTATTGATGAAATGATCGAGTTTCTCAGGAACAACAACACTGCAGAAACACAAACACAACCACACTACACACATCTGAAAAACTTGAAACGCTCATGTTTAGAGGAAAGGCTTCAGAGGAAGAGCGCTTGGGTCTGACCTGCTGGTGTCGGCGGGCTGCGGGTTGAAGTTTCCCTCGGCGTCCATAGACGACGGTTTCTCCATCATGGCCATGTAGTTTGACTCCATGTAATCGGGAGGTAAAGCTCCGCCCACTGCGCTCAGACACGGCAGCGCCAGCTTGAACAACTCCACCTCATATTTCTGCAAAAATACACACATATCTCAGATACAGCAGACAATCAAGTGACGCATCAGCTCAGGCTCCGCTGTACCTTTCTGGCCAGAGCATCAAAGATCCCCCAGAAGAGCTTTCTGGACAGATGCAGCTCCTCGTCTGACGCGGCGCCGAAGCTTCCCCATCCTCCGGAGAGACAGTAGTACTTCCAGCAGCGCTCGTAGTGATTGGTCAGGAGCTGCGGGAGGACACGCCCCCCACCAGAGCTCAGTTACTACAGCACATGATTAATGAGGTGAATGAGAGATTAGACGCGTCTCACCTTCAGAGGCATCTTAGTGTGTTCGTTTAGCACAGGAACGTCAAACACCAGACGCCTAAGCAGATGCTGCATCATCGAGGGACGCAGTTTACTGCAAAACACACACACAACACATACAGTCACAGGAAACATGCGCGAGACCGTCGACAGCAAACGCACACGGGCCACACGAACACGGTATATGTCTCAGCAAAGCTGATTCATCACAGTACATTAACACATTAAAATTTATATGACAAGTTTTCTGAAATGTTGTGTTTGAATATGCAAATGGGGCATTTTCTAATGAAACGTACATTTCCAGAGCATAAATCTGAAGTTTGGATAAAGCCAGGTTGAAAATTCTTGATTTTGTTGATATATGTGACCCTGGAGCACAAAACCAGTCACAACTGTCAATTTTGTGAAATTGAGATTTATGCATCATCTGAAAGCTGAATAAATAAGCTTTCCATTGATGTATGGTTTGTTAGGATAGGACAATATTTGGCTGAAAATCTGGAATCTGAGGGTGCAAAAAAATCTAAATATTGAGAAAATCATCTTTAAAGTTGTCCAAATGAAGTTCTTAGCAATGCATATTACTAATCAAAAATTAAGTTTTGATATATTTACGGTAGGAAATTTACAAAATATCTTCATGGAACATGATCTTTACTTATTATCCTAATGATTTTTGGCATAAAAGAAAAATTTATAATTTTGACCCATACAATGTATTGTTGGCTATTGCTACAAATATACCCCAGCGACTTAACACTGCTTTTGTGCTCCAGGGACACATATTAGAGTTAAAGGTTTTCTCTCCATAAATCAGAAAATACTGTCAACAGACAGAAAACAAATACTTTTTTACCATGTTTCTAGGAATAAAATGTTGTATAAATCAGTGTGAATGAAATATGAACAAGCCTTCAGAATACAGAGAGGAATAAAACTGCAAAGTCTGGTGTATGTAAAAGAAAAACTCTTTAAAGATATGGACTGGAATTGAAATCTACAGACGCAAATAGATAACGTGCAATAAAATAAACACTTAAATGTGTATTTTGGATGTTTTCTTTCTGCTAGAATACATATTATTGCAGCAAAACAAATCAAAATTACATAGTACATAAAAAGTTGGTCTTGCCTGAAGTATCTCGCCTTGCAGTAATAAAGTATTATTAATATACTAAATACTATACTAAAAACTCTAAATTTAAAAACTAAAAATACACATACAATCAAGATGTAAACTGTAGTCATATCCTTTTTCCCTTCAGTATCTACTGTTTTTATTGAAGAACATACAGAATCAGAATCTTGGATCTTCAAAACCTGGGTTAATTAATTTAACATAAATATTAAATAAATAAATATCCTCAGTTTCTGTTACAGCAGTTTGAAAACAAGCAGCTTTGTCATAATTACAGCAATATATCAAATATAGTGTTGGACCGCTGGTTTAAATAGATTTTGAACTGATTTGTTATTTGTGAGGTTTCTTATGCAAAAGAGCTGCTTAATCCCAGTTTTTACTTGATTTCAGTTACATAACCACACAAGAGTTGCTATATACTAGTCGCACTAAGAACTTAATCTGACCAAGAACCACCAACGTTTTGACTAGTTTGTAACTAGTCCTCACCCGCACACAGCCAGCAGACACTCCTCGATGGCGTCTCTCTGCGCTTTGGTGAGACAGCAGCCTTTCGACAGCCTGTAGACGGTGTGCAGCAGAGAGTCGATGAGAGACGCGAACGGCTCCGTCCCGGCGAACAGAGGAGCGCATTTAGTGAGCAGCGGCAGGACCGCCGTGCACAGGTACCGGTTCAGAGCCAGCGCCATGTCTGTGGCGCTCAGAGCCACCTGGAGGTCAGAGGTCACACGGGACGAGGAGAGAGGTCAAAGATCGGCATGATAACACACACTCACTGAGGTGTCACGTGACTCACCGTGTCCAATGAGGCGGCGGCTCTGAGGTCAGGAAGAAAGCCCACTTCCAGCAGGTGCAGGAGGAAGTTCTGGTCCTCGATGCCGTAAACGCGGTCCAGGAACAGAACCATGGCCGCTTTGTGATCAGGACAGAATCCCGCTGACATGTCCGGCTCGATCACAGAACCGTCTGAACACACAAAAATAAAAAGTGATATATATATACTATTTATAAAACAGATAGTTCCGGTCCTTGATTCTGATTGGTCGAGCTGCGTTCGAAGCTGTTGTAAATGACTCTACAAAGTAACATACACCTTTGTTTATAAAAGCCGTTTTATAAAAGCAATAAGCCCCGTGAAGCCGTGGTTTACAGTGAATTTATAACAGCTAAGGGGCGTTGTTAGGCACGACGCGAAGCGGAGAAAATTAATGTAAACCACGGCTTCACGGGGCTTATTGCTTTTATAAAACGGTTATTCCATATACGTAGTAAGGTTTCACAAAATAAAACAGAGCAAATAAAGTGTAATGATATTAATAAAAACAGTATTCTTCCACCAAACAATGTAGCTCCTCAGAAACAGTTGTGGTTGCAACAAAGTGGTTGCCGAGCAACACACAAACGTAAACAAAGGTGTATGTTACTTTGTAGAGTCATTTACAACAGCTTCGAACGCGGCTCAGCCAATCAGAATCAAGGACCGGAACTATCCGCTTTATAAATATATATAAGATATTAGAAACATTAACATCACACATCTTCTGTAAAGCTGCTTTGATGTGTATAGTGAAAAATGCAACAAATAAAATTGATAGAACACAAAGCTGGTGATCCTGTTTTGTCAAGTGCATTATTGCGTATGTCATTTATTGTTCATTTTTTCACATAATGTCGACAACAAAACAGGTGCAGCACACAGAGCTGAAGATGAACCCAGATGTTTCTCTTCCTGCGATCAGACCTTTGGCCAGCGTGGGCATCAGGAACGGGATGCTGATCACTCCCACCAGATCCTCAATGGGAATGAGCGAGCGCAGGATGGCTCGGATACGGATGGCCTCTCCCTTCCCTGCGTGGATCAGCTGACGGAGGAGAACAGATCACATCACGAGGGGAAGGTGATCGACATAAAGCCTTATGTGCATGTGACGGTGAAGACAATTTACAGGGAAAACGTTCCCACACTCACGTGCATCTCTGGAGCGCAGCGGCCCAACAGATCGATCAGAGCGGCATAGAAGGTCATGATGGCGTTTCCCATGTGAATGGTGTCGTCTTCCTCTTCCTCCATGATGTCATTACTATGAGAGACACACAGATCATCATCAGCAGTGGTTTGATTATCATCAGATGATCTGATAACGAACGACACATTATAATCTTTCTGAATGTAATTCATCACAGTGAATGTCATGAGACATTCAGACGCTGTCATCCATGACATTCACATGAGGTTGGCTATACAGCATATTAGCCGTTTTATTGCTGATTTAATTAGGACTTGAACACTTCTCTCCTTCAAAGATTCAGATCAGATGTGCATGTAAACATGCTATCCCTTTAAAACACTGTAGATGTGAATGAAGGTGTTGATCCTCAGAATGCAGCAGATCCTGCATTTAGAGCGCGACCCATTTTATTAGGATGTTTCTGGACCAGCGGACAATGACAGAACAGGAACACAGAAGATAAATGAAGGAGAGAATCGTGTGTGTGAGACGGAGAGATGCTGATCAAATGCCACACTCTCGAATATAAAGGTTACCGAAGGTGGCTTTTGTAGCGATGCAATAGAAGAACCATTTCTGGTTCCCTAAAGATCCTTTCAGTGATCAGTTCTTAAAATAACCATTTATTTCTTAGTGTTTTAATGATCTAAAGAAGAGTTTTCCACTATAAAGAAGCTTTTATGCAATAGAAAGGATCCATGGATGTTAAACAGGACACTGACATGAGGCTCATGATGTTCTGTGTGTGTTTATTGCGTACAGTGTCCGGCTCTCCTCTGTGGTGGGTGATGGTCCGTCTCTACTGGGATCTTCTGAGATCTTTATGGCTTCCTCCATCGCCGCCAGCAGCCCGTTCCCGCCTTCTCCGCGCAGGGCGGGGCCAAAACACTCGGGCCGGCGAATCAGGAGACGCACCACCACGTTAGCGTTCTCCTCCACACTCTCACCTGAGAGACCCCAAAACAACACCGTTCACCCACAATAACACACTACATCATGATCATCTCTAGAAGAACATTCATCAGAACACCAACCGTTACAGAAGACCGCGAACCGGAGGAAGTCCAGGTACCGTTCACCCTCCACCGGGTTCCAGCCGATGTCAGGATATCCTCTGGACATCAGCATCACGCAGCTCTGGAGACCACAGCCCGCCAGATACTGGACCACCTGACACATACACACACACACACACACACAAACACACACACACACACACACACACACACACACACACACACACACACACACACACACACACACACACACAGTCAGTGTTCAACAGCCCACATCAGCCAATCAGAGACTGAGGAGAGAAAGAGAGAGAGAGAGAGAGAGAGAGAGAGAGAGTGGCACCTTCTCGAGGTCCGGCTCTCTCAGCGCCAGAGCCAGTTCATTATTATCCATCACAGACGCGGCGGCCACATCCAGAGGAGTGGAACCTCGCATAGACGGAGACGCTACAGAGAACAAACACACACGGTTTACGCACACGGGCGTCTCGCAGAGCTCGCTAACACCTCGCTCTCAAGATCTCCATACGTCTTACCGAGGCCCACGCTGCTGTTCTCCAGCAGGTAGCTCAGATGATCAAACATGGCCTTCTGATTCTGACGGCTGATCCGACAGAAGTAGCACAGGAACCGACAGCAGTTGGCCACCATCTTAGGAAAGGTGATTTCCTGAAGACCAAAGGACACTCGTTCAGTGACAGTGCAGTCAACATATCTGTAAAAACTGAGAAACTGCAAAGAGATCAAAATAAAACAGAGATGATAACGAGCGTCTGCACCTTGGACTCTCCTGCACCCAGGACGTTCACCATCACCTCCATGACGGTCTCGTGCATGCCGAGCGCTCTCATCAGGTTCGGATGCTGGTAGAACACCTTGTTATTCATGATGTCACTGCAGACGGGACACAGACAGGGTCAGAGGTCAGACTGGAATCTCACACACTAAACACTGAGCCAAAGCCAAGATGCAAAACCTGCTTTAAACTGAGAATGCTTTAAAATTATTTTATTGTATTTTTTTTATGTTATTTTATATATTTTCTACAATTCTTTAAATTATTTAATAGTATTTAATAATAATATATACAATTGTTTAAATGATATATTATTAAATATATTTTTAATTATTATTATTAGTATATATCCACACATCTATAATTGTTTAAATAATATGTTTTTAATTATTTATTATTTGTTATATGTGACCCTGCAGCACAAAAGCAGTCTTAAGTCACTGGGGTATATTTGTAGCAATAGCCAACAATACATTGTATGGGTCAAAATTATACATTTTTCTTTTATGCCAAAAATCATTAGGATATTAAGTAAAGATCATGTTCCATGAAGATATTTTGTAAGTTTCCTACCGTAAATAAATAAAAACTTAATTTTTGATTAGTAATATGCATTGCTAAGAACTTCATTTGAACAACTTTAAAGATGATTTTCTCAATATTTAGATTTTTTTGCACCCTCAGATTCCAGATTTTCAAATAGTTGTATCTCGTCCAAATATTGTCCTATCCTAACAAACCATACATCAATGGACATTTATTTATTCAGCTTTCAGATGATGCATAAATCTCAATTTCGAAAAATTGAGACTGGTTTTGTGCTCCAGGGTCACATATGGCCCATTTAAATGCATCTGCTATATTTCAGACAGGTGCAGGAGATTGTGGGTCACCTGAGCCCATGAATCATGAGCTTCTCCTCCTCGCGGCCCATCCTGACGCTGAGCAGAGAGCGGATCTGACCCAGAGACGCCAGCAGGTTGATGGTGTCCTCCACCGAGACAGCGTTGATGGTGTAGGTCTTGGGCAGCGCTCGCACCTGGCCACCGATGCCGTCGTACTGCCGGTGGAGCAACACGAACATGGCCCGCACCAGCTCGGGATCCTCGATGACCGACTCCTGAGCCCAGCGCACCATCGTCTCCGAGATCAGCTGCTGTAAGGTGCCTTCAGACAGAAGCAGAGATCAGCACGGCTAGGAACCGCAGAATACGGTCCTCATGAAGGAGAGGAGAGCTTCACTCACTGGGTTTCTTTGATTTCTTCTTCTTTGGTATTTCAGTCATTTTCTTCTTCAGGTAGGTCACCTTCTCCACCAGAAACATCAGACGACCCCTGATGGTGAAATCATCTCCATCTCCTGATTTATCATCATCCGTCTCAATGCCTGCAGGACAGACACGCAGAAACACAGACTTCATCATCAGCATCTAAAACAGAGCATCAGAAGACTTCCATGTAGGGATGTAACGATGCACTCAACTCACGGTTCGATTCAATTCATGATTTTGATTTCACGATTCGATTTTATCACGATTTTTTTTTACAAAATGAGACTGAAGACATTATACAGTAAATGAAAAGGTGTCGTTTTATTAGGCTATTGCTGCACGTTTCTTTGTGAAATTGAAATATAACAAAACGAAATTAAAATGTTAAAACAAACCCCAAATCAAGCAAGTTACACAGAAAAAGAAATATCTTAATATGAACAAACTAAGGCTTTGTTTGTGCTGTTTCCATTTAAAATTAGAGGCAAACACTGGATTTTAATCATGATCCAAACAAAGATGCAGCACATGCAGCATGAGCAGTTTTTAATCTAAAGCAAAAACAGAATGGTCTGACTTTAGTTTTGGGAAACTATACTACATAAAACATATCTGAAGGAAACAGCAGACAAGCTGAATGAGACGCAGATTCACCCTCTGCCAGCAGGTGGCATTTATGTACAGCAATGATACAGTGTTTCCTTGGTTACCGCTGTAAACAAAGCAGCGCTGCACTTATGAACAGCAATGATACAGTGTTTCCTTGGTTACCGCTGTAAACAAAGCAGCGCTGCGCTTATGAACAGCAATGATACAGTGTTTCCTTGGTTACCGCTGTAAACAAAGCAGCGCTGCGCTTATGAACAGCAATGATACAGTGTTTCCTTGGTTACCGCTGTAAACAAAGCAGCGCTGCGCTTATGAACAGCAATGATACAGTGTTTCCTTGGTTACCGCTGTAAACAAAGCAGCGCTGCGCTTATGAACAGCAATGATACAGTGTTTCCTTGTCAACCTAGAATTAAACGAGACGGCCTTCGTAGGAAAAGGAAACAGGGAAGTATCACGTTGCTATGCCAACACATTTAGAGCATCGTTGAGTTCTCACACTACTTAAATGAAGGAAAATTATTTCTAAATTTGGAAAGTAATTTGAAAAAATAAAAAATGCTTTTACCTGTTTTATTTTGTTCAATGTTTGAGGAGCTGCAGCGTACGTACTGCAGACATCTGTTAGAGAAAAAAAAAGGAGGAGGATAAAGTCGCCGTAAACAACCCGCAAAGAATTGTGGGTTATCTGTAGCAGCGAAAGATACACCTCATGCATCCTCCGAATTCCTGTGAAAGAAGGTCGCATACGGAGTGTCCTACTTGCTTTTCTGAATTGAGACAGCCTCGATGACGTATGCAGCCTTTGAATGCGACCTCCGGAGGGCGCAGCCTTCTAACAAAGTTTATCCGTTTTTACCGAGGCGATTTAAGGTAAGTTGTAAACACCACATCTGCGCATGTGTGTACGTTTGCCGGCGCCGGCATTTTTCAAATTAACAGCGGTTGTTTACGGCGACGCAAAGAATTGTGGGTTATCTGTAGCAGCGAAGGATACACCTCATGCATCCTCCGAATTCCTGTGAAAGAAGAACAGCAATGATACAGTGTTTCCTTGGTTACCGCTGTAAACAAAAGCAGCACTGCGCTTATGAACACTACTTTAATATGCATTGTTCAGAGGCAAGATGAAAAGAAAATACCATGAAAACATTTCTAAAGATAGTCAGTTCCCCTCCGAGATACATTCATATAAACTCCTACTCCAATTGTATCGCGATTTGTTTGGCATCTCAACCAATTTGAATCATCACATATTTTAATATATTTTCGACCGGCTCACGGTTAATCATTACATCCCTACTAACATGAGTTCCAGTGGGAGTAATTCACACATCAATCACTAATCAATAACAACACAGGTCATGAATTACTCGAAAATTACTTGAAATACTTGAAGCATGAAAAGCAAACAGTTTGGCAATGGGGTGATAAAAATTAATGTCAAGATACAATTTTAATGATCATTAATCTGGTTAAGGATGTTTAGACTCGATCACTGATACCACAGTGTGTCATCAGATCTTCATGGAAGTCCAGCAGCTGTTCACGGATGTCCTCTGGACACGGACAGTCCTGCTTCTCATCCTTAAAATTCAGTAGCATGTTGATCTGAGGAAACGCACACACACACACACACACACACACACACACACGCGAGTGAATCATCATTCACAGCGCATTGAACTTAGATGACAATACCATAACCTTTTTTGAGTGAAAAATGATCAGAGGAAATAATGTAAGGACAAATATTTAATCTAGGACTTATTTGATCAATATCATTTCAAACTCAAGTTATTTATTAAGATTTACAGACAGATAAAGAGAAACAGAAAAAGAGTAAATATCATGGAAAAGGTGTGAAACGCATGTAAAGACCTGTTCCTGCGGAGGAGAGCGGAACTCTTTGGTTTTGCGTGCCGTCAGAGCGGCAGACATGTTCAGCGCCTGCATTACTTCATTATAGCGGAAACGCTGGTTCTCCTGAAGATTCGCCACAAAGTCGTCAGAGAAGGCGACCACAGCCTCGATGCGGTGACGCACCTGACAGTCGCACAGGTACTGCAGCAGGTGACACATCTGAACACACACACATCACTTCACTCAACCACTGGAGGCTTTTTACTGTTTTTCAGTACAAATCAAATTCAACAATCGCCAAATCCCTTGCATTACATTCATACTGACCATTCATTTTCATAAGATAACTGAAAAATAGTGCATATACGCATGTACACACACTAGTGTAAGTTTAGTATCATTGAGATTTTGTTTTCATATTTTCTTTTTTTCTCTCTTTTTTTTTTTTAAGTATTAGTAGTTTTGTTGTGTATTTTTGCAGTTTTTGTTATTTTTAAATATGTCTATATAGATTGTATACATTTTTATTTCAGTTTTAAATTTAGTTATTTTCGTACATCAAGTTAAACTAAATGAAAATGAGAAATGTTGCCTTGGGAACTAGTTGAAATCAAATAAGTTTAAATTTTCCATTTATTTTAAATAATGAAAATGTGTAACAAACACACTGACTTATGTACATGCACTTATACAAGCACACAAAAACAAATAAATTAATATATAAATTAAACTATAAAATACACTGGTTTGGCATTCATTTAGGGTTTAATAGAGAGTGAGTAAATCAAAAATAGGGCATTATTTAGAAATATCAAAACTTCATTGTGATCGTCCACATTTGCATCTACATGTCAACTAGCAGTCATTAGATTATTAGTAGACTGTCTGCTTAATATCTGCTAACACTTTATTTTGATGGATATCACTGCAAA